GCTCTCATGAAGCCTCTGAAGGCCTCAGACCGTACGTCCCATTAGCCTCCTGCTTGGCCATCACCACTTTACTGGTCTGGACTGGGGGAGGATCAGCTGTGGCAACTTGGGAGGAGGGAATGGCTCCAGCTTGGTCTTTTCCTGCCCTCTGGGAGCAGGGAAAGGGCTGTCTTGCCCTTCTCCATGGTGGGTTAGGGGTGTCCCTGTTGAGCAGCCAATGAGTCCTGCTGGAGCTTCCAAGAAAATGAGGGATTATCCTGATGGAATCAGGTTGGAAGAGCCCTATGAAAATTCCAGTCATCCACCAGCACTGCCAAAGCCACCACTGACCATGTCCCCCAGTGCCACATCCACATGGATGTTCAGTTCCTCCTGAGATGGTGATTCCACCCCTGTGCCAGGCCTGGCCAACCATTTCTATGAAGGACATGTCCCATATCCCATGTTTCCATGTCCCAATATTCAACCTAAGCCACCTGTGGTACAACTTGAGGCCATGTCCTCCTGTCCTATCTCTTCTACACTTGTCCAACCCCTCTCAGTGTCCCTCCTTCCATGGGGACACTTTCTAGGACCAGGGATCCCATGTCCTCCCCAGGACAGCACCCACACCCACCTTCTCCTTCTTCTGCACTAAAAGAAGTGGTTGTAGAATCCCAAATGGGTGAAAACTGGAGCATTTTGGTGGCCTCCAGCCACATGTGGTCGTCCTAGGTGGCCACATCCCTATGGAGCCTTTGGAAATGTCTAATGTCTCCTTTCCCTGTGATCCCCAGTGGATGATGGACTTGGATTCCTACCAACCTTTGGCCCTTGCTACGTCAACCTCTATGGCAGCCCCAGGGAGTTCACTGGCTTCCCTGACCCCTATGAGACCCTCAACTTGGGAAAGGTGACCTTGGCTTCTTCTAGCAGGACCTCAACTAACCACCACTGCTCCTTGGCCCAAAACCAGATGCTCTTAACCCAAACTGGTTTGTCACTAGGAGCTTGTGCTGTGTGTCCTGCCCATGCCTAACCACCTCCTGGTGCCTCTCTGCTCCCAGACCTTCCACCTGGAAACACCTCCAGAGCCTCTTTGCCTGTCCCTGCTTGGCTGTAGTGAAGCTCCTTGGAGGGAAGTATCTCCAGGACCTCTTTGCCTGTCCTTGCTTGGCTGTGATGAAGCGCCTTAGAGGAAGCACCTCCAGAACCTTTATGCCTCTTCTTGCTTGGCTGCACTGAAGCTTCTCAAAGGCCAATTAACCTAAACTGGTTTGTCACCAGGAGCCTGTGCTGTGTCTCCTGCCCATGGCTAACCTCCTCCTGGTGCCTCTCTGCTCTCAACCTTCCACCTGGAAGCACCTCCAGTACCTCTTTGCCTCTTCTTGCTTGGCTGTGGTAAAGCTCCTTGAAGGCCAAGGCAGAGCTCACCCATGAGGAGGTGGCACCAGGAGGTCCTGACACCTGTCCCTGGTGTCCCCCAAGGGCGAGGGAGTGGCATATCGTGGCAGGATCCTGGTGGAGCTGGAGACCAAACTGGTGGAGCATGTGGAGCAGAAGGTGGAGGATATTTCTGCAGATGACATCCTGAGGGTGGAGGTAATGGAGTATCCATGAGATATCCAACCCTGTGGGTTCTGGGGTTGACATGTGAGGACCTAGAGAGCGGCTGTGGGTGTTGGTCCTGGTGGGAGATGCCCATAAGTGGTGGAGAGGTTGGTGAGGTTCTGGAGGATGTTTCCTGCTGGGTTTCCATCCATCCATGGAGTCAGCTTGATCCATCCAAGGCAATGTGTGGTATGAGGAGACCATGGGGAAGATACGGAGTCATGGAATGGTTTGGGTTGGAAGGACCTGAGAGGTCATCCAGGGACACATCCCACCAGCCCAGGTGGCTCCAAGCCCCATCCAACTTGGCCTGGAACACTTCTAGGGATGGAGCAACCACAGCTGATCTGGGAATTCCACCCCAGCCCCTCACCACCTTCACAGCCAGGAATTCCTTCCCAATATCCCACCCAAATCTCCACTTTTCCACGGTGAAGCCATTCCCTGTGTCCTGCCCACCATGCCTTGTCCCAGGGCTCTCTCCAGCTCTCATGGAGCCCCTTTAGGTGCTGGAAGGTGCTGGAAGTTCTCATGGAAGGGTGGGAAATTAACCTCTACTCAGATTCTCCCTAAGATTTGCTCCTTTTGCTCATCCAAGGCCATCAAGTCCAACCTGTGACCCATCACCATCTTGTCAACTAGACCAGAACCACTGAGTGCCACATCCAGTTGTTCCTTGAACACCTTCAGGCTTGGTGACACTACCACCTCCCTTTCCATGGGGAAATTCCTCCTGATGTCCAACCTGAACCTCCCCAGGAGCACCTTGAGGTCATTCCCTCCTGTCCTGTTCCCTGGGAGCAGAGCCCAATCCCCTCTGGCTGCACCTCCTGTCAGAGAGGTGTGGGGAGCAGAACATCCCCCTTGAGCCTCCTTTTCTTCAGGCCAGAGACAGAGAGGGTAAGAGTAGCTAGTGGAGAGGAAAGATATCATTACCCATGGATCCAGGGAGGACACTTGAATCTTGCAATGTAGATGTTCTTTGAAGTGATGGTAACAGCCTTGATCCATCAGAGCTGGGAGAAACCCCAAAACATGAAGTTCAAAGGGTTAATATAGGTTCAGGTCCAGGTGGGAACACCCAGGTAGCTCTCCAGGGACCTCTGATGGCTGTGGATCATGCTCATTCCTCTGGGGCAAGCCCCAGAGATGAGTCTGGTGGCACTTCAGGGGTCTTTGATGGTTCCTGAGCCCTTCTAAGCCATGACTGGTGTTTCTTGGAGGTCTGCGATGATTCATGGTGTGAATGTCCCATACCACCTGAGCCAGTTGTGTAAGGGAGGACAATGGCATGATGAAAGTATCAAGCTACCTGCAGGATCTGCTTCTTATCAGCCTTTTCCCTTGACCGACTCCAGAACCAGCTGGTGGCCAAGCAAAAGTTGGGTTGATGTTGGGACCACATCTCTCCACCTTGGGCTGTGTTCATGCAGCTCAGAGGGTTCACCACCTCCCGGTGCCTCTCTCCTCCCAAACCTTCCACCAAACTTGTCCTCCCCTTGGTCTGGGGAGTGGTGATTGTTTGAGTCACTGCCCTTCACCACCTCCATCCCTGACACCTCCCTGTCCCCGTGGCAGAAGTACCTCCGGCGCCGGAAGTACTCCCTGTTCGCTGCCTTCTACTCGGCCACCATGCTGCAGGATGTGGCTGACGCCATCCAGTTTGAGGTCAGCATCGGCAACTACGGCAACAAGTTTGACACCACCTGCTTGCCCTTGGCCTCCACCACCCAGTACAGCCAGGCTGTCTTCGATGGTGAGCTCGGAGGAGGCTCCAGCCTTGAAGATACTCCAAATTCAATGGGAGGTGGTTGTGGGATCATGGTGTGGGTTAGGAGGGATCTTAAAGGTCATCTCGTTCCATCTCCCACCAGCCCAGGTGGCTCCAAGCCCCATCCAACGTGGCCTGGAACACTCCCAGGGATGGAGCAGCCACAGCTCCTGTGGGAATTCCATTCCAGCCCTTCACCACCCTCACAGGGAGGAATTCCCTCCCAAATCCCACCCAAATCTCCACTTTTCTAGTGGGAAGCCATTCCCTGTGTCCTGTCCCTCCATCCCTTGTCCCAAGTCCCTTTGCAGCTCTCTTGGAGCCCCTTTAGGCTTCCTGCTCCCAAAGTCCCTCAGGCATGTTCTCCCACCCCAAAGCTGCTCTGTCCTCCTTCCCCTGTACTCCTGAGAGGTGGTGTCCCCTGTCCCCTCAACACCAGGAGGTCACCTCCACCCTGTGTCCCCTAGGGTGTCAATACTACTACCTGCCCTGGGGCAACGTGAAACCTGTGGTGGTGCTGTCATCCTACTGGGAGGACATCAGCTACAGGACTGACGCCCAGAACCTGCTCCACCATGCAGCAGACAGGCTGGTGAGTGTCCTGGTGGCACTTGACAGTGTCCCCTCCCTTCTCCATCCAGTCTGGGAGGACAGGACAGGGAGGGGACAGAGGACACCCCCCAGGGTGGCTCAGGGTTGGAGGTTGATGGCTCTTGGGCTGTGGAGGAGAAACCTGTTGGTGTCCCATTTGTCCTGCTCAGTCCATGGGTGAGTAGGACCCTTCTGTGACCACCAGTGGGGTGACACACAGGGCATGTCCTGCCACCCACCTGCTGCAGGCGCAGGAGGTCTGGAGCTTCTTGGAATCATGGAATGCTTTGGGTTGGAATGGACATGAACAAGCATCTAGTCACACCCAGGGACACCTTCCACCAGCCCAGGCAGCTCCAATCTGCATCCAACCTGGCCTGGAACACTTCCAGGGACGAAAGTTAATCTCCTGAGCTATTTATGGGATTTACTGCTGGATTTCCCAGGTGTTTTCCTTGGATCTCCACACTGGGAGGTGCAAAACCCCGGCTGAAGCCTCAGATCACAAGGAGCAGCCTGGTTGCTCCTGGCTGTGGGATGGTGCAGGTCTCCAGGGGGTTCCCTGCTCTGCAACTCCTCATTCCCCATTGTCCTGCAGGAAGCAAACCTGGAGAAGCTGCAGGTGGCTCTGAAGTCCAAACGTTCTCCCAGTGAGTTGGAGGCCTTGGCAGGACAACTCCTGAATGATGTCATTGCTGACTGCAGGTACTTCCAGGCACTTCTGGGGGACAAAACCTTTCCCAACACTTCTTGTTTAGCTTGGTTGGGAACACTGCTTTCCCCCCCTTTTCCCCCCCTTTATTCCCCTTTCCCCCCTTTCCCTCTCTTTTTCTCTGTTTCCCCTCTCCCTTTCCTTATGGAGCCCAATCCCAGCCTGAACTGGGAATTTTCTCTCTGGCTCAGTCCTTAACAATCTCTTCCCAAACCTCTTCCCTTCATGGTCTAAAAATAAGTTTCTCTTTATCTCCTTCTATTTTTTTTTCTGGAAGAATTCCTCATTCCAAGGGTGAGACTTGGGAGCAGGAGGAATGTTTGTAATGACAGCACCATAAATCCTTGGGTTTTCCAGGATAACCTCTCAATGCCTTAATCCCTGAAGATCCTCCTGGGATCCTCAACCATCCTGAATCTCCTCCAGGGCCTCATCTTGATTCCTCAGGGTGTGCTTGGAATCTCCTTGGAATTTCTGGTCCCTAAATATCTTTGGGAGCTTCTTAATTCCTTGGAAATTCTGAAAAGAGGGAAAAAAACGTGGAAAAAGGCAGGAAAACCCCCCAGGAGCATGGATGAGCTCTGATGTCCCACTGGAGGTGGATGAGATGACCTTCAAGGTCCCATTCCCACCCCAATCCAGACCTCTCTGCTTGTTCCCGCAGCCTGTCCCTTCCTGATGTCTTTGGAAGAGCATCCAGCACCCACCTGGACCAGAAGATGTTCCAGTTCCGCAATTCCCACCTGGAGAAGATTCAGAAGGAAGCTCTGAAGCTCAAACATGAAGACCTGAACCTGTCGGTGGTCCTGGAGCAGGCTGAGGACTGGTTATCCCACCTCAGGGCCATGGCAGAGGAGGTGACACTGATGGGACAGTGTTGGGGGTTGATTCCACCTTAGGGGGATCTCATCCATCCCAATCATTCCATGGTGATGGGAGGTAGGGATGAGGTTCTCCCATATGTGCCCAATCCATGCTTGTCCCCATATGTCCCCTCAGAGGAAGGTGACAGGTGTGGCACCACCTTGAAGTCTGGTCTTGCTTATGGCTGAGGAAGTTCAACAGGGTCAGGAGGAGGCCAAGGAGATGCTCCAAGGCTGGAGCAGCTCTGCCATGGAGCCATTCTGGGAGAGATGGGAATGTCCATCCTGGAGAAGAGAAGCTCCAGGGAGCCCTAAAGGGGCTCCAAGAGAGCTGGAAAGGGACTTAGGAGAAGGGATGGAGAGACAGGACACAGGGAATGGCTTCACCCTGGGAAAGTGGAGATTTAGCTGGAAGTTGGGAAGGAATTCCTGGCTGTAAGGGTGGTGAGGCATGGGCACAGGTTGCCCAGAGCACCTGTGGCTGCTCCATCCCTGGAAGTGTTCCAGGTTGGGTTGGATGGGACTTGGAGCAACCTGTGCTGGTGGGAGATGTCTCTGGTTAGAACTAGATGATCTTTAAGGTCCCTTCCAACCCAACCCATTCCATGATTCTATTCCATGAGTGCTTGTTTGGATTCTGCCTAGTTGGACACTGTTGTCTCTTGTTTTCTGCAGCCCCAGAACAGTCTCCCTGACATCGTGATCTGGATGCTGCAGGGACACAAACGTGTGGCCTATGCTCGTGTTCCTGCTCACGAGGTCCTCTTCTCCAGGAACATCTCCAACTGCTGTGGCAGGAACTGTGGGAAGCTCCAGACCATCTTCCTCAAGGTACTTTGGGGTATGAGTCCAGGTGGGATCTTGAGTTTGAAGAAAATTTTCCCCTCCTTGGTTGACCTCAAGGAGGTTCTGATTGCCCCAAGGAGGTCGTGGATGCCCCAAGGAGATTATGGATGCCCCAGGGAGGTTGTGG